GAGTAAGGCTTGGTTTTGAATGGAAGGGGATGGAATTTTTCTTAGTTTAGTTAAATGATGGAAGTTTACCCCTCAAGGGCACTATGGAGGGTTTTTCTCCTCCTTTTCCTCATGAATGCAAAACTGAGGAGATGAGTCACAGGATGGACTCTGAATGTGGGAAGTAAACAGTGACATCCTCCTTTCATGGTTATTTCATTGAATTTTGAATGAGTCAGGGAGAGCACGAGGCGGGTGTTCATCTCGGCTCCTTAAATCCTCACACAACCCAAACTTAGCCTACTCATAGTGCTCAAATGATGTCTAAACTCGTGGTAGACTTCCACACTGTAATCATCCTCCTCATTTTCCTGCTGCCAGGATTAGGAGTCAAAAGTTTCCCCAGCTGTAGCCGGGTTTTTCACCTGGAAAAACATCTCATTGCTGGGGCCCCTGCACAGCACCAGGTCTTACCCGTTGCCTGTGTGAGAGAAAGTGACCTACACAGCTGGTCCATAATTAATTATTCTCCTATGGTTTATCAGTTCCAGAATAGCTTTCCTTGTGTAGACACCCTATTCTGGGATACAGTGTGTTTTTATTCAAGGCTAATGCCCGCAATTCCAGAACAAAATAATTATTATGAATAGAACCATTTTTATAGGGGAATAATGTACATGTGTAGTTTGATCTTTATGGTCTTCAGTGAAGGCTGGTGGGAAGGGCTGGTGATTTTTCTCCTATACAGACAAGCCATTGATTGCCTCTATGAGTCATGGATAACATCATAGTACTTACTGGCACCACATTACTTGAAATTATTCCTCTTTTACAAAGAGGAGTGTCTGTATGATCTCGCTCTGCAATTCCGATGATGCTGCAGGAAAGATGAATTTTAACATTTTCACAGTTTTTCCACAGGTGCAGGATTGGCTTCTTGTTTGTTTTCAGAGAGAAAGGATATTGAAAAACTGGCAATTTTAAACACTTGTTGTTCCTTGCACCTCCAGCTTCAGAATTACTGAGGGCTTATGGAAGACTTGGATCCTGTTAAGTAGTTTGCTAAGCAGAGGGAAAATTTAAATGTGAAATTCAGATTTATGCTCCAACAGGAGCTACTATCCTTTTTTAATAACAAAATGATGATTTTAAAAGACTTCCCTCTTACCACAGCTTAACATGTGCATTGTATTTAATGCTGACCTGCCACTGCCACCACTGTCTTCTAGCAGGATACTTGTTTTGCTTCTCATTAAAAAGTATGAAATCTAAGAAATGTAGCTTCAGTGAAATCTTGAGTTATATGAATGGCAGATTTTTACTGCACAGTGTGCCCTGCAGCTGTGGCTTTGTGTCTGCCTTAGTCCTGTGCTGCTTTTTGTGGCAGAAGTCCAAGGTCAAGTGAGACTAAAACCAAAAGCAATGGATGATTTTATGATTAAATAAAAAAAATATCAAGACATCAGAGAAAAAGCCTTGGTTGAGGTCTGAGCTGGATAGGGTAAGGACCAGGAGGGAGCATCTCTTATGCACAGCATTATATGCTTGGGTTTGTGTGTGGTGTCTTCCTCTCTCTCTGCTCCTCGGAAACATCAGGAGGGTGTTTTCTTTCTGTCAGTACTCTCAAACTTTGCAGGATGAGCTGAGCTATAAGCATATTGCCCAACTCTGAACAGAAAATTTTTGGCATAAAATTGCAGTTTTTCAAAGTTGACTTGTTGCACTAGGGGTCTGGGTATTTGGCTAATGTAAATGAATATCTTAATAGAGGCAAACCACCTGCTGAAAGCCTATTACAAGATAAAAGTTATTTCAGAAATTCAAGGTAAATATCTCAAGTCACGTCCAACAGTGTGTTACTACTACACATCTCCCCTCAACACCCCCAATGTCCCAGTAGGCTGAGCAAAACACTGTTCTGCTTCTGAGATAGCACTGGGCTCTGGGGATGCTCATTTGGTCTCCATTTACTTTTCTTCAGCTCTTGCTCTCTTTTGGCACATAATTAGGACTAATCCACATTCTGGTTTAATGTTCTGCCCTCTTTGATCTTGCTGAAGTTCTGAGTAAAGGAGCAGGTGATTGATTCCTTGCATCGTTGCACACCAGAAAGCTGCAAATGTGTCCTGTTTCTGATTGTCGCTGTAAGGAGATTGATGCTGTGGTGCTGATGTGCTGAATTAAAAAGGTGGGGTGTTGGCCTGCCATGGTGTGAAGTATTTCTTTTTAGATGTTCCTACAGTGTCATAAAATGCTGCTAAATTCAGATATCATATTTTGCTGCAGGCTGGTTGTAGGACAAAGCCCCGCCCTGTCTACTGGTGTTTATGGCTTCCCATACAAGCTTTCGGACAAAATTTGTATCTCATTTTGCTTGAGTTACAGCAGGATGATATCCTGTTACAGATCTGAAAAGAGGCACTGAATGCTGCCACTGTAATGAAATGGAGGAAAGGGAAAAACATACCTTTTACGCTTCCTGTAAATCATTTCTTGAGAGAGATAAAGTATCTGCATAAAGTGTGTGTGGGAGTCCTATAATGTAAACACAAATGTATTTAAGCCTTGTCTTGTTTTTGGCTCCTCTTTAGGCTCAGGAACTATGTCATTATTTAAGTCTCCTCTGCAACCTGATGCGTCTTAAGAGAAGGCAGGTTTTAGCTCTTCCCCTAGAAATCAGAAGGTACTCTTACTCTGCGTCCTTTGCTCATCTGTACAGCTGCACAATTTTACTTCGAAATCTAGTTCAATTTATTTACAATTAATCCAGGAAGGGGCTTGTCTTCGCCTGACTTTTCAGCAAAAAAACCAATACCCTCCCTCCTCTCGCTGCCTCGGCTTTCCCGGGAGCAAAGTTCACTTTCAGCACCCGAGTTGTGCAATTGCACAAGGGCACGACAAGCCACGCTGTGTCAAGGTGCCCTGTAAACCACAGAGCAGTAATGGGGCTGCTAATACATCCCCTGGGGACTTTTGTTCTAGAGTTTGTGTTGATCTTCTCTTTCCTCCTGCTGTGAGCAGGATGAGGTTTGACCCACACTGCGTTTCCAGGTACTTTTTTTACTCAGTGTAAAAGCACTGGGGGTCCCACAGAGCAGCACAGCAAGAGGCAGGGGGGCATTTCCCGATCCCTGCTGAACAGGGGTCACCAGGTTCTGCTTTTTGCCTCTATCCTTGCTGCAGGTTGCTGTGGGTTCCTTGCCTTGGGCAGTCAGAGGAAGGTGTGGGCTGGCCTGGTGCACTGGGAGAGATGGGCTGATGTTTATGCATCAGTGCAAGGCAGAGGATGCCCAGGTGGGGCGACTGCTTGGCAGCTGCTCTGCATCTGCATTTGCCTGTGGAGCTGAGAGGAAACCCTGATCTGATCCCCATGTGCAGTAGTGAGAGAAGAGACTGTTTAATATTGTTTCCTGCTGCAAATTTTTTTTTTTTATACTTTTGTATATTTTTGCGCATTTGCTCACTCCTGCAAAGAATATTCCAGTGGCTGAAGAAAAATCTTGGCACAAGTAAATATACAGCAAAAGTAAAGGCAAAAGTATTGTGACGACATGAGAAGCATTTAAAGAAGTGTAGACAATATCAAACCATCGAAAAATAAATGACCAGAATTTCCACTGAGAACAAGAGTGGGGCAAAGTCAAATGGATGAGATTTGCCCTAGAATCCGTCTTTGATAAATGTGTAGGCTTTAAAAATACACAACCTGAAAAAAACCCCAGCTTAAATATTAGAGCTTTTATCTCTGCTAAATTGTGGCTGCGAGTATCTGAGTCATCTGGCTGGAACAGGTGTAATTGTTTGTGTGGTTGCGTATCTGCTCTGCCCAGTGCTGACAAACGGTGGAATCACAGCTAAGCTTCAGCGAGAGACAACGAGAGTTTTGACCTTAGGATCTGTCATTGTGCCTTTGTTATCTCTGCGCATTATGGAACTGCTTCATTTTAATTCACTGGGTTTCTGTTTATTTCCTCTGTGGCACTCCCAGGAGCTTGGATTCACCAGCTTTTTGTCGGAGCATGTGCATTGTCAGTTTGAAAGACCCACTGTTTCTAGGTAGAATCGCAGCCCAGGTTGAATATATCTCACTATTAATTAGAGATTGGCCCAAACCAAAGGCGTCTGTTTGATCCCTCCCTCCCTCTGGAATCTTTTCTTTCCTGGGAAAAATTACTCAGTGCTGGCTGGAGGATTGAACATTGTGCTGCAGAGAAACTTTTGTGGTTTCCAAATGTGTCTCATTCTCCTCAGGAATTAAACCAAAAAAATCCTTCTAAGCGTCTGCAAACCTTCTGTATGTAAAGGATTTCTCCTTCTCTCAGGTTCACTCTTGTCTATAAATCCATCCCATGGAGACCCCTGTGAAACCCCACATATTTTACTGTGAAAAGTTTCAAGAACACAAGGCTTTTAGCAGTTTCCCACTAACTTCCAAACTGCTGACCTGGCAGAATGAATTGGGAGTGATGCAGATTTGCTACCCCCCATTGCATTGTGTGTTAGTGACATTAGACCGAAGAAAATGTTCGGTTTTACTGATTAAAATGTTGTTTTACTGCCTACTAATATTTAATATGCTGGTTTTCTAGTCATGAGTGAGAAAAAGCTGAGAGTTTAATACAATAAAAGAAAACAATAAAAAGAAAAAAACACTAACAACAAAACAATAACAATAGAACAATAAAAGAAAAAACCCGTAGAAGTAAAAAGTTTTGGAACTTAGATTGGGATCTGGCCAATCAATCCCCTCCTTGTTGTATCCAGTACTTGATTAATGGCTTTCAAGCATATATCAGACTGGGGAAGGTGGAAGAGGAGCTGTACAGCTGATGCAATGGGATGTTTTCAGCATGTGAGCTTTGAACCAAAAGTGTTATTCCGTGATACCTGTGTCAGATTGTTTTGTAATTGTGGTGAGCAGTATTGATCTCTGGTAATACATTGCTTTTGAGAAAAACTGAGGGGCATGCTAAGCAAACATCTGAGCTGTCTTTCTGTTTCCTTTTATCTTTGGCCTGCAGTGGTGGAGAGCCGAGGAGGGATCATGGACAGCATACAGAGATTCTCAAACCTGCCAACGTATCTCCCAGCGAGCTCCCACATCTGCAATGCTGATGTTTTCTTCTTCCTCAAAGAAGCCAACCAGGATATCATGAGGAACTCCAGTTTGCAGTCTAGGGTGGATTCATTCTTTATATACAAAGCCAAGCAGCCACCTGTCCTAAATGCCACGTATGGACCCTTTTCTGTTGAACAGCCTGTTCCCTTGGACCTCATGCTGACTTCTGCGTCTTTTGGTTTCACAAATAAATTCACTTTTAATTGGAAATTAAAATCTCACATAATCAACAGCTCAATCTATTCCAATAAACCCAAAATACAAACCTTGTTCTATATTGCGGGGAAGGACTGGGATGACTATAACTCTGAGGAGATGTTGCCTTGTGTGAAGATGTTTGCATTCCTGGAGTCTAGAGAAGTTGTGGCCAGCTGTAGATTGACAGGCCATCTAGGATTATGCGTTGCAGAGCTGGAATTGTCTCCCAGCTGGTTCAGCTCCCCTCCACCCATGGTTTCAGAGGAAACAACCTCTCTGGAAGGGATTACTGTGGAGCTCTTCTATAAGATTTATACAGTGGATGGGGAATGTTCTCCAGAGGATGAAAAGTGGGAAAACAATATCCATGCAGGTGAAGATAATGAACACCAAGCTTTGTCAGCTATGGAGAGGATTGGTAGCATCGTTGTTTACCCAAATCAAGACCAATTAAAACAGTCTTCACTAAGGCTTGATGAAAATATCGTTATTCGCTTACCACTCAACCCTGTCAGAGAAGGTGACATTGTGACCTTCCATGTTTGCCTGGCTGATGACTCGCTAGCAGACCAGTTTGTATTAAGGTAAGAGAATTTTTAAAGTGCTTTATGCTGAGCAATCTACAAATAGGGGCAAATCACCGTTGGGAGTAATTTCTTTGATTATATTCAGTGTTTTCCTGAGAGAACTTTGGCATTTCCTCTCCAACAGGGGAAAACTGTAAATAGTCTTGAATTATCTGTGTGGATGATACTTTTTGGAATGTGGGCATTGATTTTAAAGTATGAGCTATGAATGTTTGTTTGATTATTTCTTATTTTAATTCTATTTGTTTCTAGTCATGATTCTGCCTCTTGAATTATGCCTCTCTAAGTCAGCCAAGGTGACTGCTGTGATCTGTTTTGCCAAACAGCTTGCAGGAGGGTTTTTAATTTCTTTGGTGAAACTTTCTCTGTTTTTATCAATTTTATTGCTATCTTTCCAAAGTGCATTGGATACATCTCGCACAGGTCATGTGTGGTGAGGAACTATTTTGTTCCACTGTACAGAGGGGAGCTGAGAGGTGAGAAAATGAGATGTGCCTCAGCTTGTGTAGGAATCCTCTGGCGGAGCCAGGATTTGGGGCCCAACTTTGCAAGTAGTCTTCAGTTTTCCTGTCAAACCAGCCTATCCTGCTTCCTCAAGCTTTTGACTGCTTGTTTTGTGGCCCATTTTTGTTTTAACTTTGGGGACTTTCTGTTGACCTTTACTTGTGAATCTGCCTGTAATAGGAAAATTCAGGCATTTCTAACCACCCTGAGGGTTAGTGCTGAATATTTGTTATGTCCTTAGCTGTCAGACTGCAGGTTCAGAGCTTCACAGAGACCAAATTCAGAGAGAAATGTGAGCCAGACTGAGAGAATAAGAGGGCCAAAAGGTAATTGAGAAGTGTCATCTGCTGTGAGAATGTGAGACACTTGGGAAAGAAGGAGTTGAAGCCCATGCAAGGAAACCTCAGAGCAGATTTGTGCCTTACTTCTAACTTTCTGATCCGGGAACGATGGGAGCAGAACATGACAGAAGTGCACTTTGGGGGCAGATGTTGAGAAAACAGACAGCAAACCTTATGCAGCATTTTCACATCGTTCAACATCTGTGAAGTAGCACATGAATATTAATAAACTTACAGATTGCTGCGTGAATTGGGACAAGTGGTTCATAGTGCAGTGCTACTGGGCAGGGGAGGGCAGGAGAAATGTGTGAGAAATATAATGGGATTTAACCAGACTTTAAAAGGTTTGGGTCAGGAAGGGTCTTAGTTTAAACACAACTTAGTCTTGCTTTTACCTGGATTTACTGATTTTTCTTCGTTAAATATGGATTTGGCCAGCATCCACTGTCAGAAGATGGACCAGCCTCATGGAGCAGTCGGGTTTCAGCAGTTGTGTATTGATCCTCTGTGCTATGGCAGAGAGATTATAAAATTTGCCTAAGGCTCTGCAAGGATTTAACATCAGCTCTTAATTCTCAGTTTTTTTGTTCCTTTTGCCACACCACAGATAAAATTCCCAAGGTATTAGAGACAGCCTCAGATGGGGATGTTTTCTTTCCATTGGAATTTCTAAAATAGCATTTACCTTGTAGTAAATGGTGCAAGGGTAGAGTTTTGATATTTCTTCTGGCCAGGAAATAATCAAAGACTTCTTGCAGAGACAGTTTTGAAACGCTGTCTTTCAAAAGCAAAATAGGTCCTGGAAGGTCTGAGCACGGTACCTAACCTGGGGTTTCAGGGAGGCAGAAAATGAGGGAGTGGAGAGCTTCCAAACTGGGGAGCCCCAGGATGAGACACAAAGCCTGGCTAGTGCCAAGACCCTCCTCTTCTCCCACAGCCCCCTGTGACTTGCATGTCTCCAGCTGTCAGGTGTTCTCCCAACACACAGAACGTGCATCCTGGTGCTCCTGAGCTGCTGGGAAGGCAGTCAGGTTTCCATGGGGATTTCCTTCTTTGAAAGTATGGATCCGGTTAATCTCCAGGAAATGTTTCTGTTACAATAAATCAGCATGTTTCACATGCCCAGAAATATTTCCTTGGAAAATTCGCCAATGGCTCTGTGTAGTCCAGCCTGTCTGGGCTTTGATTTGGCTCTGCTTGCATTGTGCATTTTCATCAGAGAAACGGCAAGTTTTTTTATTTAACCTTCAGTCGAATAGTAAGCACCGAAAGTAAGAGGCAAAAGGCAATTCTACTGATGGTTCACCTGCCCTTCAGGATGGAAAGAGCACCAGCAACTGTTGCTATGATTGTTTCAAATGACGTAGGTGGGGCCCATGGGGAGATTATCCAGCTGAAGTGTACATAGTGGGCAGGGAATTATTCTGAGGGAAATACAGGCACTATAGTGCCTGCATCTAATTTATGCAGTTTCCCTCACCAGCTTTCCCTGGTTTTCAGCTCAATGCTAATGTCCATAAAAAACCCAGAAGGTTTTTATATACATAGAATTTCCGCGTGTTAAAGCCGGAGAAAAATACATTGAAGTGAATGTTTGCCTTGGGAAATATATTTTTGCCTAATATAACTGATTGTTTTTAATCATATTTTTTATAAGTGTAGCCGGGTGAATTGCAGTCTGGCTCATATGAGATGATAGATCAAAATCAAGTCATTCTCAGTGCAGCATTTGATGCCAGCCTTGAGCTCTGACAGTATGCAAAGGAACAGATATGCTCAATTTTATGCACTTCTTTACTATTTCATGCTGCGTTGTGTAGTATTTTATTTCATGTTGGATTTTGTTCTAGCAAAACTGACTTCAGTTCTCATATGAGAGGTGATTCTTCATTTGTTTTGGTAAAATTGGGGATTCTTAACCAAGCTTGGAAACTGAAAAGCAATTGGAAACACTTCCTTGATTCATCAAGGTGCTGTGTTGAAAGACACTTGTTCGACCCCTTTCCTCCCAGCAGCGTTACTTATAGGGTGATGCTGCAGCTTATTTGTGAAGCTCCAGCTATCACTTCCAGTCCCTTTCATCAGCCCAAACTGGTTTTGCTGTGCTCAAGCTAAGTCTTGGCTGTTTGTTTTCATTCAGTAACTAGAATTTCAGATGGAGTGGAGGTTTGGTGGTGCTCTGGTCTGGGGAATTTTTTTTCTCTTCGTGCTGCAACCCAGCTGGCGTGGCTTGGTGTAAGTGAACGACTCTGTCAAGGGGCAAGAGTTTGGAAACTAGGTGTGCATTTAGTGCTTTTGCTGTGCCTGACAGTCATACTGCTCACTTTGTTGACAGATGATCTATACATGTGTGCAATGAAATTCTTATGATACTGGAGATTATTTTGTGGCCTTGCTGGTCTGATCTGTACTGTAAAATTTACCATCTGTGAAGATAAATTTTGCCCATTATGTTTGGTGGGTTGTCACTAAGCATAGTTTAGCTGTAAAGGTAGGTGAAATGGGCTATGTTGCCATGATTAAACTCTTTTATGGGGTTCCTAGTTAAAAAAAAAAAAATAGTAAGAAAATGAAGGACAGCTTTGAGATTCCAGCAGGACTCCTACATGCTTCAATGTCACAATGTGCTTCAGTGTCACAAATATTCAAGCACTTTTTGTTCTTTGATGCACTGGAATATCTCTGTTACCTTCCTCACTGACAAACTTAGAAGAAATGCAGTAAATGAGGGAAGATGGAAGTCATGACTGCAGAAGAGGTAACACAAATTTTTGTGCTAATTGCTAAGCAGAAGAAGTCTCCTGATACACATGGAGGAGTTACAAAAGAGACAGGAGAAAGCAATTCCTGCTCAGCTGGAAGAACAGAAATCTCATCTTAATAGCATTGTGAATGGCTTCTATTTCTTCTATGGTGTTTGTTATTATTTAACTCCATCTTGAGACTCAAAGAGTGTATTTAAAAGAAAAATGGGAGTCAATTTGTTCGGCAGGAAAACGTTTAACAGAATAAATGGACAATTGCCCCTTGGTTATGGGGAAGAAATGAGGACAGTCTTTAGAAATAAACCATGGATTTTTGTCCTGTTTTCCAAGTCTCCCCATTTAAACTGTCGGCGAGGATGTGATGGTAATGAAGGCTGAGCACTAATAGCAAATAGTCGAGTCGCAGACAAAAAGTGGGTTTGTTGGCATTCCTTACACGTCCCTAACACGAATGACCCATCCTTCTTCTCTGCCGGATCAGAATAGAAGTGGAGATTGGAGATATTCCAGGAATAACAGTAAGGGGCTGAAACCAGGTAATGAATCCCACGGTAGGGAAATGAAAGCGGCCGCGGCCAGGATGTGGTCCTGTGTCTGGAGGGGAACGGCAGGGCCGTGCAAAGAAACCTCGCTGTCACTCGGTGCCTAGGCAACCTCAGGGAGAAGGATTATCTGCTCCTCCCTGCCATGGCTCCACACAGTGCAGGGCAAAGATTGCTCTTTGATTTTTTGGGATGAACCAGTACAAGGTGTAATACATGCCGGTTGACTTCTACTGATTATTCTCATTGGGAAAAATGATATTAAGGATTTATATTAATAAACATATATCCATATGGAGGGGGTTATGTCTCCTGCTAAGGAATAAAAATTGCACAGGCCATTAAAACTGACTTACAAGGCTTCTGCGTTAATAATGAAAGATCTGTAGAAGTCTGAGCAGTCGTCTAGAAGGCCAGAAAAAGATCATTAAGAGGATGTCTCCTGCCAATAGCTGCCAAGAGCAAACAAGGGAAAGAAAACAGAAGGTTTTGGATCTGGAAATGCATAGAAAATGAGAGCATACAGACTGTGGGGAATGCAGCCTGGCTGCCTGTGAGGAGGAGGCTCCGTGAGACCCTCGTCGCTTCTAAACCAAGCTGGTAGGAATGGGGGAGCACTGTTACTGGAGATTATTACTGGGGATTATTACTGGCAAGAGAAATAAATGATTAACTGAATCCTCGTTTTAGGGTGAAAATTCAGCAGAAGTCAAAGTGTTGAGAGAGGAAAAAAAATATACTTCTGAAATCAGAAATGCTGGCTCAGATTTAGAAATAATCACAGAATTAAAGCATTATTGGTGGCTTGGGCATATTTGGGGTTTGCCCGAAGGTTTTAATAAACC